GCACATATAAAAATGTCAGATGCAACCGTAAAGAGCACGTAACTAGAGCTTAATGGTGACTGACAGGAACAGGAGGTGACTGATCATGGTCCAGTGATCGGGCTGCTGGAGGCAGAGGGCCGATACGGACGATCGCCTCACTGCATGGGACCGTGCCACTGCGCTGGTGTCTCTGCAGACGCCGCCCTGCTGGCCGGCATAGGAAAGATCCTGTCAGAGAAAGACTCAGGATCGCGTGTGGGGGTCCTCGGCATCACATGACTGTACAGGTTTGGCTCAGTGGTTTCCCAGCCGGTTCCTGTCCTCACTGTTTATTTGTATGACTGATTTACCAATAAGCCTTGTTTTTTTCTGGTTCTTCCACTTCCTGTCGAAATGGCATCTTTTCCTTTGTCAGATTGTTTTGTTTTCCCTCTTTCACATGGTGTCCTCTTCTCCCCAAACTATATGTTATTTTAAACATTCAGGCATTTTGTAGGAGAGTAACGGTACTAAACAGGAGAATGTAATAAATATGCAAAAAAAAAAAACACTGACGTCGAAAGACGATGACATCATAAAAGGCCATTACCCAGTAATGGTGATTGACAAGACTTCATTCTAGTTATCTGGAAAGCCGTAAGACATTTCTTCATTATTATTTTAGGATTTTAGTACTGCAGGAATTGGAAATAACCAGATGACAAAGTGACAGTACACAAAATGAGTCATTACTGGTCGTTTGCTATCACTTTTGTTATGGTTTGTGTTTTATAATTCCAGGTTCATTTGCTGTAATAAATCAGTATTATATCACAGTGGTTCGATCCCTGCATGTCACTGACATTAGTAAAGATAGTGAAGTGCTAGTTTTTGTCCAGCTGTGCGCAGTTTGCATGCTATTTTTTTTATCCCAGAGGAAAGATCTGCCAGTGTCCTTGAGTTAAGTGCTTAGTCTGAATGATGTGGCAGATCTGGTACCTAGAGAAGTAAGTCAACTTGCCAAAGTTCATCATGCAAGCTGCTAGATGCGAGTAGCTACCCCCCCAACGTCTATATTGTTGATGGTGTGATTCTTCATGATGAGAACTGGTGCTTGGTTGTGACTTGTTGACTGCCGTACTATGCTGGAAAACATACCTGGCCATCTTCATTCGCACACGTCCATCTGCCCGTGTCCATCCCTGCCCCTGCATACTGGGGGGGGGGGGGCAGCCCCAGGACAGACTAAGACAGCCTAAGTCACACTGCCAGAGTGTGGATTTAGGAGTTTTCGGCTGAATGGAGGGCAAGGGTATACAACCTCATGAGCACACATGTTGGTTTAAGGACACCTCTTCCTTTCAGAGTGAGAGAAAGAAGCCCCGCCCCCTAGCATGCAGCGCCCATTCAGGCGTGTCCCCCGGGAGCTTGCACACACACAAAGCTCAGGCTAGCCAATCACATTGCGACCCCATCTGTGACTTCAGCTCAGCACCAGATAAATCAGCGCTTTCGGCTTGCAGGGAAACCTGTAACTCGCACACTATGTTTGAGACTAGCATAGGTGCATAATCTTATAAGGTTTATTTTTACTGCACTGGCTTTTCTGACTGTACGTTCTTTGGGGAGTATTTTTCACTGTTCTTAGATAATATACTCAGTCATAGGGCTTTGGCTATCGTTCACATTAGGACCAGGGATTCTGGGGCTATGAGTTAGCTCTCTGCAGAAGGACGACAGACAGTAGCCACTGTGGGGAAATTCCGCACTGTTTATACTGGAACAACATAAGGATGTGAATCCTCACCCCACTCTACCCAAGATAAACATTACTGGAACTTACTAATCAGGAACCTAGGGCACAGAGCTGAACGCGAAATGAGGGCTTCAACAGAAGGTCATTCTACAGTAGTTATAAATGTCCATCCATCCATTTCCCAAATAGCTTATCCTTCTGGGTCACGGGGTGCCCGGAGCCTATCCCGGAAGCTACGGGCACGAGGCAGGGAACAACCCAGGATGGGGGGCCAGCCCATATTTACAAATATGTTTATTTTTATTAAAATGATCATAGGATGGACACAAGCAAATGTTCTATTTGAGCTTGTCTTATGCTAGAAGTAGGTAAAAAAAACATTTCAAATCTTTAAAAACTGACATTTGTGTCTTTGAAATGTTCAGTGGTTTTCAACTGTATACCGGCCACCTCGCCTTTGATCAATCACGAGACTATAGAGACCGGCTTTGCTGAATAGATGACCTCAAAGCAAGCAGGTTACATTGTTACTTACAAAAGCCACATGCTAATTCACGTCATGTGTGGGGAAACCCCCGGTGACAATGGTGGGACATTACCGAAGCTGGCCTTTGCACGGTGATGTGTACAAACACTGCAACAGATCGACCGCAATGAAAGAACTAATGAGTTCTAAAGCCTCCTGCCTGCTCATACCAAAAGAGCGTGGTCACTATACCCCGGCGAGGAAGGAAAAAACAAAGTTAAATCTAAAGTCTTTTGTTTATTTCAATTGTGTTCAATTGTTGTCATGAACCATATTGAATTTTACATGAAAAACATTTCTATCCTGAATAAATCATGATAAGTCTTATGTGGGAATCGTAAGACGTAATAATAGTTGTTTATACAGATTTATTTTCTAGATTAAAATTTGCAAAAAGTACCCAATAATAATGATTAAATGTTCATGAATATTTCATTGAGCAGCCATATAAAATAATGATAAAATTCCAGATTTCAAGTACACAGGTAAAATTAATGTTTATTGTTAAAATCAAGAATTTTTTTGGAATAATAAAACAGAGGCGTTGACCTCGGGGAGCTCAAGGTCAGCTGCAGCCATGAATTTGAGCATTTCTGTAAACTCACTGTAATTAATGCTCATAGCTGGCGTGTACAGAATAGATCAGAGCATCATCAGTAGCAGCTGCTAGCCTGTAAGATGGACTCAGTATGGGTATCGGTGCTAAACAAAACTGCCTGGTTGGGCACCATTTTGTTGCCCATAGTTTTAGCCATTTACCTTGAACATGAGCTAGTGAAAAAAAAACACTCCAACAATGAAAGGCTGTCTGTCCCACAATATGGAGGTGGGAGGATTAAAAACCTTGAGTCATCTTGACACCGTGAGCTTTATAGAAATCAGGAAAGGACAGAGCACAGCAAAGGAAGTGACATCACACCACATGTTTACATTTCTCTGAAAAAAACGGGACTGTTCTCCTCAGGAACACCTAGCATAATTTTGAAAAAATATGACTTACCTAGTACAGCTTTTGAATTGATTGTGATAATATTACAGTTGTACAGCCTCCATTTTATTTCCAAATGTTTTGTGTTCTTGTGTACAGAAATGTGACTGTCAAAATTATTTTTTTAAATAGTTTTCTTTGTATCCACATAAAAAAATCTGTTTCTAATAATGACACTGAATATCACTCAGGGGAAGCATTTTCATGTTTTAACATTTCTCTTCAGAATATAGTATATAGAAATATCCTACTGGCTAGATATATGTCATTTTAAAAAGTGGGCATGAAATGTATCTTTTTTTTCATACATTGCAGTAATATATATATATATATATATATATATATATATATATATATATATATACACACACACACACACATATATATATATATATACACACATATACAATTTCATAAGCTTGTTTATACATTTATAAACTCTGTATGTCAAAACACGTGCATCTTACTATATGTCATCAGAAAATTTCTTTTTACCATGCAAAATTATAGACATAATGAACTTGCTAAATATTGAGTTAATATATTACACACACAGCAGTAGAAAATTATATATTGATTTAAAAAAACTTGCATTCTTCTAGAGAATATAAAATAAATTAGAGAAACTGTTTTATGTAAAATTCTCCGAATGGTGTGAAATGAGAAATCTTTCTCTTATGTTAATACAATGTGAAAAGTCCTACGCCATACATGCACCATTACATAAATGTCAAACTCTCCATCGTCCTGACACTTCGGCGTCGCAGCGCCATCGTATTTCCTGCGCTTTTTGTCTAAGTGGCCGTATGTGCATTTTTAAGCAGAAAAAAAGTGAACTCAGCCGCTCAGCAGCAGCTCCCGAGTCTCTTCCTCCTCTAAATTTAGCTACACAAGAAGGCAATGGTCCCCTTGTATTCTCCAAAGCAACGGCATCTATGCGTGGCATGCAGACTTCGCAGTTGGTACTCTAAAGCACCCCACGTGATTTAGGACTAGATAACACTAAACCAGTTAGTAAAGATCAGATTGCACGTGACGCAGCTGGCTAGTAAATCACAGCATGGAAAATTCTTCAGAAAATAGCAACGATAATGTGAATAACAAATGTACAGTATATTGTTAGGCTTCTCAGTCATTTCTGAAAAGGAGTAAAAAAAAACAAAAAAAAAAACTAAATTGAATCGCAGTATTTACTTTCTGAATCTCTTTACCTAAAATCAATCGAATATTCCTAACACTGTTCTGTAGTACAAAAAAGAAACACGATTACTCATCTGAATTGTTAATGCTTTAACTAGCTGTTACTACTCCGCTAAGCTTAAAGATCGACTTAAACTTCGGAGGGGGCGAAAATGCAATGCAGCTATCTACAAAAACGTTTCTGAAGTTGTTTTTGTGTGTTAAGCAGAGCCCGCTGCCTTTGCTTATTTGCACAGATCTGTCCGGTAGTGGCTCGGCTGCGCAGACCCCCGTGCACCCGCACCTAACCCCCAGCCCCACTCCCAACATCCTTCTCACGAAACGGCTCACATTCCAACCTAATGAATAGGTACCTCGCCGTCGCTCCGGTCGCTGTATCACTGCGCGCCTTCTATGCTCCGCTGTCACTCTTTATTTGCGGTTCCTCAGCACAAACCCACGCAGCTAATGCATCGTTACATCTCATATTCTGCTGTTTCTAGGGGGGGAAATTACATTTCGCAGCTTTTTATCTTCACGGTAGGGTGACTACTTTTTCTTAAAGGCGGCAGGATACACAGACCACAAAGCGGCTATAACAGCTCGAGCCGTGCACCGCCATCTTAGATTGATCCGTGTTGTTCCAGCGACTTCCGAGGAGAACAGCTGTGGAGTCGAGCCGCTGTTCCCCCTTGTGTTGTTTACACGGTTTTGGCTTAAACTTTGCTTACAACATCGACAGTAAGCAACTGACGGAGCAGACGGATATATCGCCGTGTTTCAGGTACGCCCCGACTGCCGGGAAACGCCGACTTGGGAGTTTTTTTTCTTTTCTCTTCTCCAGCCGTTACGGTAAACGCATCGGAGATGCCTGCCGTACCCCCCCGATTAGACACACCGCGATAATCTACACTTTTTATTTGGTTACACATTAACCAGTGAATCTGGGTGCCTTTGACAGTCGACTGGCGCTCGGTGGGGTGAGTGTGGAGAAACTCGGCCACCGTGGGCAGGACGCGGCGCTCCGTTCGCCCCGTCGGCTTACTTTTCACCAAGATCCGGCTACCGTCTCGGGCGCGGAAGCCGCGTTGCCGGCGGCACCGAACGCCGCGCTCTGAACTGGACGTCGGTCGGAGGTTAGTGGGCAGCGGAGCGAAGCTAGCGGACCGCTGAAGTTTCGTCTCAACGGCCGGACTCATTGTTCCCGTCGGGTTTGGGCTTCGACGGCCGGTTCGCCTGCTTAGGCAGTTGCCTTCTGGGTGTTTGTTGTCGCCTCACCGCATCCAGCCTCCACCCCTCTGTCCGGCCCCGAGGTGGTGGCGGCGGCGCACTGGAAGCGGAGGCCACGGCTGCGGGTCCTGGCTGTGGGGGTGGGAGGGAGAGAGAGGGAGCCTGGGGGAGGTGCGAGTGGTTTTTTGAGTTTTCCTTTCCCCCCTGAAGCCAGACTTGGGAAGTTGAGATGGAAAGGTCCGATCTGGTTCTCTGGATAGCCCATGCAGACGACTGCGTCTGTCGGAGTTTAACGTGGGATTGGTGCGACTGGCCGCAGCTCTCTCGGCTTGTGGGTCTGTAGATTTACGGGGTGTGGGACGGAATGGCTCTGCTGTCCCCCCGTCCCCCCCCCCCTTTCTGGGGTAGTGATTGCCTTCATGTCTGCATTTCCTCCCATTTTCAGGACCCTGGGTTCCCTTGATGGATTCCATCTAGGTGTCCGCTGGTTTATGTGGTTTTAAGAACATTGTGTCGAGTCTGTTTCACATGCCCAACTCTGCCTGGCTCCTACCCCAAGCTGGGTGGTGTTTCTAAGGGTAAGGCTAGGGTTCGGGTCACGGTCGTACATTTAACTGTTTCCGCTTATCCGGCCGCCTCGGCACTCGCTTTCCTTTTCCCCCCTGGACTAATCTAGCCGGCGCCGGCTTGGTGATAAGCCTAACTTTGCAGTTAATCAGTGTTACTGGTTTGCATATATAGCTACACCATGCCCAAGGTAAACAAGCGCAAGTTTCTCTCTGATTTCCTCACCGGCGTCTGCGTGGGCGTGCTTGTGTTTTTCGTCTTACTGCGTTAGTTTCACTCGCTGTTTGACCAGTTTAACCAGGGATCGTTTAACCAGGTGCAGCTTAAGCCTCAGGAAATGGGAGCAGCTGCTTGGAAAAATCTGCATTTTTGTAGCGCTTATCTCAACATGCTTGCATTGCCAGGAGTGGAAATAATTGAGTTTTTTGTAGCTGTTTCTTGTGCTGTAATGTGAGCCTGGGTTTGCGGTCATAAACGTAGAATAACACTGACATAAATGTTAAACCAACCACAACCATGACTATGCTTTGGACATAAATGGCTCCCAGCATCACTTCTGAAGGTTGCTCTAGTGCATGTAACCTTTGTTACCAATATTCACAGCTCTGTAGTGTTTCTTTCCTCTATGCTATGAATCTTCTGGAATAAATGTATGTGTTTATGAATTTGTTGCAATAAAGCTCACTGTTGGGTGTGTGTGAGAACTTCATCAGTGCTTTTAGTCTTCTCCTGGCGGACCGGAATCTGGTGGGGCACCTTGCTGTTAGACTGAGCTCCCAGTTTTTGGTGTGCTGTGTTTTCTGTGGGACTGAGCTGAGTACTGTATCGCAATGTGAGAATTGTTGGTTAGCTAGATTACTTGTCCGATTTAAGGTACCCCAGGTTCAATGAACTTTCTTCGTTCACTTGCATTTAACCCAGACTACCTTAAATCCGACAAGTTATCTGACAAATCAGTTTGTGATACAGGCCTCAGATCTGCATGACAAACTTTAATCCCTGAGAGGAAAATGTGAAATGCAACATGAGTTTTGGTGAGGCAACCCTTTTAAGTGTACTGTTCTCACTGGGATCATTAAGCGTAACAGTAGATGATAATCTGTTGCGTGATTGTCCAGTCTGTTCTGCCTTTATGAAGATCTCCCGGTCCGGTGATTGTGTTGTGCGTTAGGTGCTGCAAATGCAGCCTGGCTTACCAGATGCAGTATAATTGTAATTTAATTACTCGTTGATATGCCAGTGGGACTTATCAGTCTGTACAGTCCCAAAACCAGGTGGTTTTCATACTGACCTTTCACCCTCTCTGCTAGTTGGCTGCCCTTATGCCTTGTTCTTGTTACTGGTATATGGTGTTGGACGTGAAATGTGTGGCTACAGGCTTTTGCTGCCTTGGTGTGACTGCACTCCCACCCCTCCCTCTTGGGACTAGACCGTGGAGATGAGTGTCTGACAGGCTAATAATCTTCTACTTTTGCTTCTGCTATTAGGTTTCATTTGGCTTTTGAACACTGCTCATCTCAGGGATGTAATTCTTAACTTGCCATTTGGGCTAGTTTGATGTCAGGGTCTCCGATTTTGGGTGCGGGAGACTAAGAGGGAATTGGTGCTATGTGATCAGCATCCTGCTCCTTTTGTGATGCGGAATGGAAGCAGCCACTGAGTATATTTGGGTATTTGGATCCCCACACACTGAATTTAACCCAGAAATGGTCTCCTGGTTTGGATCTATTCTGAAAAAATGCCTATGAGGGCAAATGACCGCCAATTAAACTGCAATTCAAAAAATGTTCTAGTATACAATGGATAGCAGGCATCTATTCTAGATATGCTTCATCTGTTTAAATTAAACTGGACTTTGTAGATCTGAACTTGGGTAGCAGTACATTCTGGCTACCAAAGCTAGTGGAAGAGCTATGAAATATTTATGCAGTGTCTGGGAAAGTGATGTGCCGCGCTGTGCCAATTGCTTAGAGTCAGGCTGTAGAGCATAATTGGGCACTGACTCAGTGTGTACATTCGTTTCCACCGTCGCACAGTCCTGTCAGAATCGCCTTGCTCAGTACGCTGACATTGTAGCTGCAAGCACCAAATATTTCCCTGGAACTCACTGTTTTGCAGTCGCGCTGCCAGGGTCTCGTCACGCATTTCTGGGATCCGCTTACAAAAAAAAAAGTGAGATTGTTGTGCGGCGCAGTTAAATTGGCAGAAGCAGATCAGCTGTAAGGTCCCAATCTGCTCTAAGGGGCTCTGTGATTAAGTTCCACTCTGGACGCAGCTACCACTTGCTGTTTAGCTTTGGTCTGGGGTGCTGAAGAATGCAGCTCCATTGATTTGGGCGTCTCTGAAGGCAGACAGTGTCAGTATCACTCTGACTGTGGGAAGCTTCAGCCTCTCTCTCGGTGCATTTATTGAACATTTACTTTAAGGTCAGTCATCTGCATTTTTATTAGTGTAGAATATACTCTGTTTTCAAGGTCTTCTTTCTGCCATTTATGTTTTCATGAGTGTGGTCATTGCGCATGATCTAAAAAGCACCCCCAATTGATTGTGGCTTTTCCTGAAACCGCCTTTTCAAATCTGTGTGTTGGGTGTATGCTGTTTGCCGCCTTGGCACATCTGTGTATCGATCGAAGCCTCATCGCTTTCCTAGCTCTCTTCGCTTGCTGAATCCTCAGGGTGGTGTGTTCGTGGGGATAATGTCCATGTCTTTTGGAAGACCTCTGCGTCGCTCATGCTTCCTCGGTCCTGTGATTGGCTTCACGTTGTCAGCTAACGTTTCTGTAGTTATGCTTAATAGGTCATGTGTGAGTGAACTCTTGTGGAGCGGCTTGGGGCCCCGAGCTAACGTCAAGCCTTTAGGAGAACCGGATTGCAGTTCCCAGCTCAAGAGTGCAGCTAACAGAAAGGTGTCCACTGTTAGCATTCGTGCACTGACAGCCTGTCCATGTGCTATTAGTCCTTATGCAGTTTTATCAGGGCCCTGCTGGAGTGTGGTGTCCTTCACTCTTACCTGCTGTGGCAGATTCTCCATTACGGGACCATTTTGGGCTCCATTGTGGGCTCCAGGCTTTTCCATTGTAATTGAATGCTCTGTTGACAAAAAACATGAATCTGTAATATGGTCATAAGTGGCTGGGTATCCTGGGCTTTCTCAGGATGGGGACAGCTGGGAGGTGTTCCGTAGCCACAGGGGGTGCACAGTACTTGCGCTCTGTGTGGCCAACATGAGCAAAACTGCCGGCCGCACTTTTTTTCCCTTCCCTACCCCCACTCTTGGCAGTGGTCCACGCAAGCCAAGGGAAATATTTGAAAAGGTTCATTTTCACCATGTCGGGATTTAAGAAATGGATACTGTGAACACATTCAAAATTTTGCCTCCTGTTGGTGATAAAATGATGGGCTTAACAGGGATTATTGAGGTAATCGCAGGCTAGCACTGTCTGAAGGTTATGATCTTGGAGTGTTGGGTATGTAAGGCTTAAATGTCTCCCTGGCGCAAAGTGGCACATCTCTGTGGTTTGCTTGGTGACATGCTGTAGGTGGCAGGCCTTGTATTACACAGGAACATCCCAGAGACATCTGCCCAGGATCAAGTCACATGACTTAAATATGTCATGTGCAACAGCCAAATTGCTTAAACATTTCATAATATCCGACTGGGGGTTTCCCATATTCATATCCGTATTTGAAGCTCTCGAGTTCCATTTGTAGACTTTTGAAGTCCTTATTTCTGTCGGTTTCGTTTAAGTAGCTCTTTACTTCTTGGAGTTGATGCACCCATGTGGTAACAGGCCAGTGTTACCCATGTGACCTTGGAATGGTTTTGCAGTGAAGCCAGGTTCCATTGAAATGAGACGTTTACTTGGTAGCGTATTGTTAGGACATCATGACGCTCATACCAGTGTACCTTGATGGGCTGATGGCTCCTTGCTCCATTTGGGTAGTGGAGACCTGAGGTTCTGTAGAAATAATCTGTGTATTTAGTGCTCTCTGCATAGAGATCCTAAAGCAGGCTGATAAAGCCTGTGGTTTAGCCTGTTATATAATCATAAGGGGAGGGGGGTTACATAAGCAAACATTGGCTTTTTGGCTGATAAATTCTGTGACCCATTTTTTTGTTTTGATAAATTAAAGTGGATCTTTCAGATGACAGGGCATGTGGTAACAAACCTTGTCTGGTTTTGTGACGGTTTGACTGAGGCTGCTAATTTTACTTGCTGCTGTGCTGCCATCCTTCCCTGAATAAGCTTGACCCTTTACAAAATGGCTTGGTGGATTTTAAACCAGAGAACAGGACTTGTGAACATTGCGCTTTGCTGGGATTGTAGCATAAAGGAGAGGGGAGAGCTGAGCCGAGTGCCACCATCTTCGTCTTAAGGATGGGCAAACTGGAGGCCTGCTAGTATAAATGCTCCATGTTTAGTGACTGATTTCTGCTAGCTAATTGGAGCTTTCCTGTCTCGCTCACTCTGTTGAACATAAAGTGTTTGTGTAGTGAATGTAGTGGCAGTGCTGCTGCGGAGAACGTTACAGCTGTGTAATTATACCAGATTTATTTCTAACTGTGAATGCAGCTGTATGCCAGTGATCTCTAGGTAATAGCTTGGCTCCTGAATCTGTCAGCGATTTTTCAGCTCATCCTGCTGTCGTACTGCTTTTTTTTTTAATGTGTGGTCAATTGGCAGAGTGGTAATTTAGTCTGGTCTATCCTGAGCTAATGCAGTGTTGTCATCATTTTAATTCACGCAAACAGTTCAAATTATAACTGAAATCTGTCTCTCTTGCAGATTAGGACGCTGTGTAGGCTGAGGGTTTTGAAAGGAACATGGCTGCCCAGCGTAAGTGTCTCCATGTGACTGGTCCTGCATCCAGATGTTACTCTAATTTGATTTCTGCTTAATCAGTGGGTGTCTAAATGGGATTTATAATGATGACCCCCCCCCCTTTGGATGGTAGGTTTGACATCCTCTGTTTAAATGGTCAGAGGGTGGTCTGTGCCGCTGTAGCTGGTACAACTGGCTCTGTGCCCATCCATAACATTGATAGGAAAATGCTCGCTGTGCCAAGTGCCATCCGCCCGTAAGTGAATGATTGTGCCCTTTACCAGCTGACCTGATGGAGCTCGACATGGCCATGGAGCCGGACCGCAAGGCCGCAGTCAGCCACTGGCAGCAGCAGTCGTACCTGGACTCTGGCATCCACTCTGGGGCCACGACCACAGCGCCATCCCTCAGCGGCAAGGGCAACCCCGAGGAGGATGATATGGACAACCCTGGGCTGTACGAGTGGGAGCAGGGCTTCCCCCAACCCTTTACCCAGGACCAGGTGGCAGGTATGCCTCCCAGCCACCCCCCTGCTGCCCATGACCTTATTTTCCTCGGTTTTCTTTGGCCCCCGAGATGCTTCACACTGACTTCTGCTATGCTACCTTCCAGACATCGACGGGCAGTACGCCATGACCCGGGCCCAGAGGGTCCGGGCCGCCATGTTCCCCGAGACCCTGGATGAGGGCATGCAGATCCCGTCCACGCAGTTTGACAGCGCCCATCCCACCAACGTGCAGCGTCTGGCTGAGCCCTCGCAGATGCTCAAGCATGCCGTGGTCAACCTGATCAACTACCAGGATGATGCTGAGCTGGCCACCCGCGCCATCCCCGAGCTCACCAAGCTGCTCAATGATGAGGACCAGGTCTGCGGCCCCACCCTTGTGTCCAGCGTCCTTGTGCCCTGTCCGAATCCCCCCCCCTCTGAGCCTCTGCTCTTGCCCATCTCAGGTGGTGGTGAACAAGGCAGCCGTGATGGTGCACCAGCTCTCCAAGAAGGAAGCGTCCCGGCACGCCATCATGCGCTCGCCCCAGATGGTGTCGGCCATCGTACGCACCATGCAGAACACGGGCGACGTGGAAACAGCGCGCTGCACGGCCGGCTCCCTGCACAACCTCTCCCACCACCGGGAGGGCCTGCTTGCCATCTTCAAGTCTGGTGGCATCCCTGCCCTCGTCAAGATGCTGGGGTGAGGGGGGGGGGTTCTCTGGTGCTCGTCCCTCCCATCGGTGGAGTGTCTCTACATCCACATTAACAGGGATTTTGCGGGGGGATTCAGGTCGAGGCTCTGGGGTGACTTCCTGAAAAAGTGGCAGGGGAGGAACGTGTCCGCATCCGTTAACGAGACTGCCTCTCTTGCAGATCCCCAGTGGACTCGGTTCTGTTTTACGCCATCACAACACTCCACAATCTGCTGCTGCACCAGGAGGGGGCCAAGATGGCTGTGCGCCTGGCCGGGGGCTTGCAGAAGATGGTGGCTTTGCTCAGTAAGACCAACGTGAAGTTCCTCGCCATCACGACGGACTGCCTTCAGATCTTGGCATATGGCAACCAAGAAAGCAAGGTAAGGGTCCTGTCCTTGGTGTGTGGGTGTCCCGTCCCCCCCCCCGGCAAAAATAACAATTCTGATGCCTGTATATTTCTTACCCTCAGCTCATCATCTTGGCCAGTGGTGGCCCTCAGGCCTTGGTCAACATCATGAGGACCTACACATATGAGAAGCTTTTATGGACCACCAGCAGAGTGCTCAAAGTGCTGTCGGTCTGCTCCAGCAACAAGCCTGCCATCGTCGAGGCTGGTAAATGCTGTGCCTATGGAGAACCCTTTGAACCTTCCTCCTTTCTACAGAGCTTTGGATTAAGGCTTAATTTTCGAATTTCAGGAGGTATGCAGGCCTTAGGGCTTCACCTGACTGACCCTAGTCAGCGTCTGGTCCAGAACTGCCTGTGGACCCTCAGAAACCTGTCAGATGCAGCCACCAAGCAGGTATGAAGTCCTGGTATGAAATGGGCTCTGTGAGCATGTCCTCGCCACATCAGCGAGTCTGTCGCCCCCCCATGTCCTCCTGTGGCTGACTGCTCTGTCCCGTCCCCTCACAGGAGGGCATGGAGGGTCTGCTGGGGACGCTGGTGCAGCTCCTGGGTTCTGACGACATCAATGTGGTGACGTGTGCGGCCGGCATCCTCTCCAACCTCACCTGCAACAACTACAAGAACAAGATGATGGTGTGTCAGGTGGGAGGCATCGAGGCGCTGGTGCGTACCGTGCTCCGCGCCGGAGACCGCGAGGACATCACCGAGCCCGCCGTATGCGCCCTGCGCCACCTCACCAGCCGCCACCAGGACGCTGAGATGGCCCAGAACGCCGTGCGGCTCCACTACGGCCTGCCGGTAGTGGTGAAGCTGCTGCACCCGCCCTCACACTGGCCCCTCATCAAGGTACCTCGGCTCGGGGCGTCAGGGGCAGTGGGGGTCCCCTGTGACACGATCGGCCCCCTGTAACGCAGCCCCCTTCCTTCCCAGGCGACTGTGGGGCTGATCCGGAACCTGGCGCTGTGCCCTGCCAACCACGCGCCCCTCCGGGAGCAGGGCGCCATCCCCAGGCTGGTGCAGCTGCTGGTGCGGGCGCACCAGGACACGCAGAGACGCACCTCCATGGGCGGCACGCAGCAGCAGTTTGTGGTGAGTGCAGCTCATCTCACTGTGGGTGGGTGGGGGACTCCCCTCGAGCCGCCCCGCTGACCCATGCCGTTAAATGCAGGAGGGGGTCCGCATGGAGGAGATTGTGGAAGGCTGCACTGGTGCCCTGCACATCCTGGCCAGAGATGTTCACAACAGAATCGTCATCCGGGGACTCAACACCATCCCACTCTTCGTGCAGGTAGGCCCAGGGCAGCGCAGTGCGGGGCTGGGGTCTCTGGTGGCCTGTAAGCCCCACCCCTCATGATCGGCCCCTCCTCCCACAGCTCCTGTACTCTCCAATCGAGAACATCCAGCGTGTGGCGGCCGGCGTGCTCTGCGAACTGGCTCAGGACAAGGAGGCGGCAGAGGCCATCGAGGCTGAGGGGGCCACCGCCCCCCTGACGGAGCTGCTGCACTCCAGAAACGAGGGCGTGGGTGAGTGTGGGGGCCCTCGGCCACCTGGGGGTGGGGGTGCTGAGCACGGGACGTGCCTGACGGCCACATGACCTCCCCCTGCTGCCCGCAGCCACGTACGCGGCGGCCGTGCTCTTCCGCATGTCGGAGGATAAGCCCCAGGACTACAAGAAGCGGCTGTCAGTGGAGCTCACCAGCTCCCTCTTCAGGACGGAGCCCATGCCCTGGAATGAGGTGAGTCTGTCCTGGGGGCCAGTGGCAGCTTCCTGCAGGCTGTGTGATGCTGCTCTGTGGAATAACGTCCCCTCACAGTGTTTGGTAGCCCTGAGCCTAAACGTAGCTTTTTACTGGGCTGTAGGGAGTTACATTTTGTCCATGTATCCTGTATAAGTTCATTTACATTTTAAAGAGCTTCCTAAAACGATCGGGATGTGACAGGGGAGGATGCGGGGGTCTCCGTGGTGCTCTGAGCTGCAGGTTACCTTGGCAACTCTTGGCTGTCCTCCCTGATCAGTGGCCTCTGTCTGTCTTCCCTCCTCCAGACGGGAGATCTTGGCCTGGACATGAGTGCCCAGGGAGAGCCCCTCGGCTATCGCTCGGACGGTATGTCAGCATCCGGTGACTGTTATTAATCCACTGCAGTGCCTGTGTGTGGGGGGGAGGGGGGGATCTTTTGCCAGTCCCCTCTGCCCAGGTTGACTTCACTCACTATCTAGATTGCTAGCCTGCAGGCACGGCGCGGACAGGGACGTCTACGCCTCACGGTGTGCCGCTTGTCTAAATGCCTCTAACAGCGTGTGCTCCCCCCACCCCCACCCCCCCGGCCCGCCTGCAGACCCGAGCTACCGCTCGTTCCACTCGGCCGGCTTCGGGCAGGACCCCCTGGGGATGGAGCCCATGATGGAGCATGACCTCCATCACCCCGGTGCCGACTACGCGGTCGATGGCCTGCCAGACCTGGGCCACACCCAGGACCTGATTGACGGGCTGCCCCCAGGCGACAGCAATCAGCTGGCCTGGTTTGATACTGATCTGTAAATAAATAACCTTTTTAGGTAAGGCTTAAACACGAGCCACAGGTATACTGGTGTATTTGCTGCATGCCAGTGTGGAGTGTAACTAATCCGTGTGGAGTGTGGAATGCCCCTTCTGCCGTGCTTCCCCCAGTGACGTGTGCCCCCCCCTCTTTCCACAGCCGTATCGTCTGAATAAACTGCATCGTGACTTGGCCTGTAGAGTTGCTGAGCGGTCTTGTGAGGAGAGGTGGGCTCATGTCTCAAAGTGCCTGACGCTAACCAACGCCGAGTTTCCTATGGGAACAAGCCGGAGAAACGTTTTGTTCTGGTCCTTGCTGGTCGGAGTTTAAACTGCGGTGGATTATTATTATTTTTTTTGAGTGGAAGAGTGTGCCAGAGATGGATCTCAAGATGGAATTTCAACATCTAGCCTTGCCTGTCTTTTTTACATTTTATTTTTTTAATGATTCTTCTGTCACTTGTAATGGTTCTGATCTAGCTTGCTTTAAAACCATTTTTTGCAGCAATTTTTATTCCTTTTAACGTCTCGTAGTATTAAGTTATAGTGGTAATGTTCCATCAGTTTCTAAATTTTATCAGTTCATGGTGTAGAACACTAATCAAAAGAATTGTATTCTGAATAAAGTGTTATATTGTGTAGCTTTTGTATAAAACCAGGAATTGAAAATGGTCCAAATATTTTAAAAGCTGAAATTGAAAAACCTTCTGGTGTCAGTCTTGGAGTCCATTTGAGTTGGGGCCAAAAGAACTGATCCTCTTTTTGGCCTTTGAAGGTAGTTTAAAGATCCCTTAAGTTGTAGCCTGCTGTGCTTATTGGAAACATGGCTGAACAATAAAACGGACTTATTTCAGCTTGGTGCAGTTTCTTTGCCGCATTTGTGTGGAGATGTACTGTGGGGTCAGTCTGGTGGATCCTATGTGGGGCTTTTGATGACTCCAGCCACTGAAACATGGGCTGAAAATACACACCATAAACCTAAAGATGATCTGCTCTGCGCCCACTTACAGCATGGCTGTGAGGAGTGTGTATTCCAAATGACCTCTGAGTTAATGTGCTGAAAGCGACATCAACATTTCCATTTAATCTTCTTGTTTCATGTATGAATCTTAGAGGAAGTATTTGCAGGTTTTTGATCTCTGGGGGAAATTGTATGAAATAAACAAATGACAAATTATGACACAAGAACCACTTAGTATAAGTATGTGAGCATTAAATGTATAGCCAGATAAAAACCAGATGCCCCTGAAATCACATGCTGCTTGAAGATTTCAGTATCTCCGTGGCCAAGGAAGTCACAGAGGTGTCCACCAGAGACCTGCAAGAACAACAGTCCCATCACTAAACATGTCCGTCTGGCTCAAGTAGGAATTGTTTAAAAATGGGGGATTTATCCATAGATATGAATAACGAAGCATTTCTCAGTATTAAAGGCTCAGCTACTGTTTGTACGGAAGCAGCCAGTCTGTACAAATGGGTAACAGGTGTAACGTGAAGTTCTGATGTTTCAGACCACAGTGACACGGGCCGCCTCTATGATACAAATAGGTGTCGCAGACAAGGTACTATTTCAATGACTCAGCATTCGATATTTCAATGTAAAATAAGTGAGTCACAACATGAAAACGTAAATATTACAAAAAAAGACATCGAATTGGAAATGTCCTAACCTGAAGCACACTTGTCACTAAAGGAAACTAAATAAATACCATTCTTTGATGTTCACACCTACTCCAACAGTGAGAATAATTAATTTCCTCTGTGGCTGGAAGTATTTTTTAATAGAAATACTCTTTGCAAGCCTTTCTTTAGTCTTGTGGAAAGGAATTTAACAGCAGCGTTGGCAGCGACACAAATGCACTTGAAGGTCTTCCAGAGCTGCCTTCTCTTACAGGCCCCTGCAGGCACATTCAAAGGGGTCACTTTCTTGCTTTAGACAGATGTGGGGGGGGG